CTGTTTTATGTCTCCTTGTGTCTTGCAGAGGAGCTCTAAACAGAGTCTTGACAGGCCCATGTGGTGAGCTCAGCATCCTGCAATGACACCACAGACAGCCAGATAAATGTGATTTTTTTTTGTTCTTGTTGTTACTCTAATGGTTGTATTATTCATGTTGTAATCATACTCCAGCAGCTCATCTCCAGGACACCAAACACTCTCTCTGTCACACTGTAAATGTCTCTTTGAGGCCACATTTGCATATTTCCACATGCTCTGTAAACTTTGTAATAAATAGGGGTAATACTTTGTGCTACAATGCATGCTGCTAAGGAACCAAATAGCTATCAAACACAGAAGATGTATGTGAAAATTGCTGGCATTTTCATATTTTTTTTTTCCATCACTGCTTTGTAAAGTAATATGCAGCACACTGCTCAGAACAACGTGTCACTATCAGTGCACTATCAAAGCTGTCCTATAATTCTGATAACATGCAGTGATTCTAATAACTTCTCTTCATCTGATATAATATCATTCCTTGCAATGAATGCTTTGGATCTGATAAGCTTTATGTTTCTGGTCTATTAAGTTTGTTAAGTGAAGTACAATTAACTAGCATGGGACATTTTTACTTACATTTATATCAAGCAATTTTGCTGTTGAGGAATACATATTAAAATAAAATGATAAATCAACAACAGTGACAAAGTTTTCTATTGTGCTCTGCTAAATGTGTAAATACAGACCGAAATTTGACAAATGGAGACAGAGGGACACTTTAATTTTGATTTCCTCTTTTTACTGCCATTTATCCTTTTTTCACACATGTTGGGAAATGTGCCAAAACAAAATATTTTAGTAATGTTCTATTTTAGATGTCTTATGAATGTGCCTTTCCACATCAAATCTGTTATTAGAGTAACTGTAGATGAACCGTTCATCACATTCTGTCAGGGGTTTTACTTTTTGTCCCAGTTTTCTGGTCATATAAAAAAAAGAGTTGTAGGTTTTTAGGGTGGAGGTCAGTAACTTTACTAAAAAGGCACTTGTATGTAACAACAGGGGATTTTCAGGGACTTAAAAAAGGGAATAATATCCATAATTGTATATAAGTGACAACATTAGTCTTACAATCATTATTGTAAACAGAGTGACTGTCTTGTTATCTAGATAGACAAATAAATTTGAAAAAGAAACATTTTGAAACGTGATGTTAATGAGTTAATCTATTTTTGTTAAATTTGTATAAAAGATATCTGGTTCTTTCCAGGCTGTCATAAACATGATCTGTTCTCCAGCCCCCTTTAGGTACTTGTTCCAACATTTTTATTGTTTTTTTTTTGTTTTTGCCCAGCTGCTAGTTAGATATCTTTCCAGATAGCTTTACTCAGAACCATGGAGTTCTGTGAGACAATATACCATCATTAATCCTGCATGATGTGTCAAAGCCACCTTAGATTTGATATTCATGCATGCCCAGAAAGATCCTTTGGAGGGTAAAATGTTTTGGTAAAAATTGAATATGGAGAATATTTCATGTCAAGAGATGCAGGGAGATTGTGATTTCATTTAACAGTATCAGCAGTCAAGTTAACAAAAACAGATCATTTTGTGAGTTATGCTGACATTTCAACACAAATATTTAGCACTGAGAAAGATCATCTTACTTATAATTGGTTTACTTGAACATGCTTTTATCATTTAATTTATTGTCCAATCACAAATATAGAACTAAAACCAATTGAAAATGCACAACTATGGCTGAACAGCTACATTTATTAAGAATATAGAGACAATTCTAAGAACATGAGAGGCAAACATGATAAAACTACAACACGACTCGAAATAAATGTTGCCCATTTGCCAGGTATGTAGGCATTGTGTTTGCATCCACATTATATTTTCAGATTCCACATGTATTTGCTACTTTTATTTACTTGCATCTCTTTTAATGTGCACAAATGAAGTGCTCTCAGAATGGTGACCTGTTCAGTCTGGTATCAAACAGTGGTCACGGAGCATGTTCTGCATGATAATCAATGAGAAGCGAGCACTGAGGAGTCAGTGTGCGCGTCTTCCTTGCGACTAGAGCTGACCCAAACACTGCACATCTTCAGCAGGTCTCCTCTGTCCTCATGACTCAGAGCCCTGCTGCTCGTCTCTCTGTCTGTGCAAACGGGGACTAATTTACATTTCCCGGGGCGTTTGGCAAAATGCTGCTCGGAAAGGAAAATCCAGCGGGGCTTGAACGGTTGTAAAGTGTCAGGAGGCGTCGCACAGTAACAACCACTGTATCCAGATGAGCGTGAAACACGTCGCCTCTCGGTGAACCATTAGCACTACCCGGTGCTCCTTTCTGATTAAAGCAGCTTTTTTTCTAGAATTTAGATGTTCTCGCTTTCATACCCCCGACAACACAATTGTTCACTGTTGTGAACCGCACTGTTCCACTGTTATGTTACTTCATTACAATGATTTTTTGTTCACACACTGCTTGTAAAGCTTGTGAGATAAGGGCGATTTATTTTTCTATTAGCCCACACATGTCCCAGTAACTCATCAGAAACTAAACATATTGCGGCTGGATAAAAATGTCAGTTATATATATTTTTTTTGCAATTTTGGCTGAAAATATATGAACACAGGGATGCTAATGCTGATATGGTTAGGGAAATAGATTGAGACCAAATTAGTATTAAAAAAATCTATAAAATGCCATAACTGGAGTGAGGTCAGAAGTTGAAGAAGTGACACAGCACAGTCAGGTTGCTGATTTAAGTCTATTTATTGAATATTGAATATTATTGCCTGTGGCCGAGTCACTACTGGTTACCATTAATTAATCTAATATTTAATGCTTTCATTACCACAATAGCATTAAATTGACAATGTCTCGGATGTACCAAGCCTGCAATATCAAGAGAAATGAAGAGAGAAACTGTCAGTATCCTCTGAGACCCAAATGATCAAAACTGATTGAAAAGACACAAGAAACAAGCAGTGGTATATTCTTTATTCTCTGGTATGGCTGTTCTGTGTATCTTTTTCATTTGTAAAATGCATTTCGGGACACACTGTTTGAGGTGTTATGTTTATCAAACCACGGTAAGTAGACAGGCCCATACTGAAATAAGTTTTCAATACTCAGATATCCATCTGAGTCTCTGCTACTGATAATCTGTACGGTGTGCACAAAAAACCACGTAGAAGCTCGCAATCACAAGAGAAGCATTTTGTGAAGTGCGTTGGATAGAATAGAATGGATCTGGGTTTAATTTCTGCTCCTTGACTTGATAGATTAAACAGAAATGACAGAATATGTTGTGAATGTGGCCTGAGTCCACCCAAAGTTGTCAAGTTTATAAATAAAAAAAAGTTGTGGTCAATTTAGCCTTTCACTTTTTCTGTTTGGGGCTAGATTTAGAGCAGCATGATGTTGACTATAGGACCATTATAACTTTGTCCCAATAGAAAGTGATAATCTACCTTATGTGTTAGCATGTAAAACTGGAGGAGCAAATGGAGGATGTGGCATTGGATTACTGTAGTCGTGTGACAATTCATTCTAAAACATTTTCTATGGGGTGTTTTCTTCATGCATCTGATGTATTCTGCAACTGAACGTTTCAGCAAAAGCCGTGCTTTGTTGCAATATTACCTAAAGGAAACAATTATGGCAGCCAAGCTGCAGGTGACTAACATGAGTCTCTTAAATCTGCCTGTGATTGCTTAATCCTTATTATATATCATCAATTTGTCTCATATGTAACCAACCCATCTAGTGAAGTAGCACCAGTCCAAGGCAGGAGTGGGTCAAAATTTTTATTTCACAGTAATAAATTGCAATTTAGAGTCAAGAATTTGAACTACACATCCACAAGTAAATGGGAAATATCTCTACCTTCATGTTACACTGTCGTATACCACTGAGTATCTCTAAAAAATAAATATATTTAGTCCAAAGTTAGTGTAAATGTGTTTTTTACATTCTTATCTTAACAGAATACAACAACTGTATCAACAACTATGTCTAAACTGTGTTGTGACTGCTCCACTTTGAGCGGTAGATTTCACCTTTTTCTTCTCCAGTCCCACAAAAGGCCATTCACATCTCATCTTACAGCCCGGGTAAATATCCAGTATCTTCACTTGTGTTACAATACTGCCACCATAGTAAAAGTCTGAGCTTTGAGCAGGGGGGCAACTTTATGCTCAGTCAGTTTTTTACTGCTTACATTAGACTGTAATAAACTGCAGACCGAGTGCTGGAAATGAAATACTGCAGGCCTCACCGGGCTCACATGACTCTTCCAGTTTGGGGCTAGATTTAGAGCAGCGTGACACAGTTTTCAAGGACGATTTCTTCCCACTGTGCCCCGTATCTTTTCATTACTGTATCACACTTTATTTTAAGACATTTTATATAAGCCTTATGTAGTTGGACATCAGCCACCTGTTTGGTTGTAATGTTTAATTGTACTGTCCCTGTCAAATAAACAAATAAATAAAAAAAAATCAATGATGAAAGACATTATTGCATTTCATGTGGCTATTATGAGGTCAGAGGAAAATTGGCCTTTTGCTTGGTTTAATTATGCCTAATGTGTGTTTGACACTGCTCTTTAAAATTAGATGCATAACTACAATAAGTGTATGTAATAAAAAGAGGCCAAAAGTTATGGTTTTAGCCAAAACGCCCATATTCCATAATATGTATGTTTTCGAAAAAGGCCTCTCCAAGAACTCTGACTTTGGCGCAGTTACTTTTCTGTCCAGAAGAGGGCGACATTTCTAACGAAAAAAGAAAATCCCTAGTATTCACAGAGGCTGTGTGGGACAAACTAGAAAAAACAAAGCCATGGTGGGATGTGCATCATGTGTCATGCATTTATAGAACACATGTTGGGTTGCTTTAAAGTAATCAATGAAAACTGAGATTGGATCACATGCAGTTTATTTATTTATTTTTGTATTTTTTTGCAGTGTTTGGACACAGGAAGTAGTGACACGGCCACATGGCCAGACTATCGACGGCAGCTGAGACGGAAGCGGGGGGCTCTGCCAACTGTCTGGCCAGGCCTCTCGTAGGCCTGCCTCCCTCGGGCCACTCACAGCCAGTGTGGGATCAGGGCCAACGCTGTCAAATATCAGCACACACTCACAGTCCCACATAATTATCTCTGCTCGCTCTGAGGAGGGAGGGGGGGGCTTGATTTGTGCTTTTTTTTTTCTCATGCAGGGGGCTAATTCTAGATCTGCATAGAAGAAACGCCCCAGTGTCCATGTTTCACAGTTAACTTATCAATAAAGTGAGCTTTTTTTTTCTTTTTTTGTCCACCACCAACAATGGCAAGAGGAATGAGAAATGCTTTTAATGTTTTATAAAAGCACTTGGGGGTTTGAAGGGCTATAATTAGCAGCAGTCTGTGTGAAGTCAAGGAATGACTGTCAAAATCCCCCAGTCTTCCCTTATGCGTAATGAGCTGCTGTTTGTCGGACAGATAGTTTTCTTAGGTTTAAATCAAGGATAAATCTAATTCCATAGATGCCCTCTCCTAAAATGATCCCATTCCCAAAAAGGTGCTGAGGCAAAATGACTATTTCCTGCAGAACAATACATTACAAATCTGTTGTAACCCCTCCATTTATTTCTGTAAAGCCATGAAAACAGAAAGAAACAATCATATGCATTTTTAAGCTTCTGTCTCAGGTCTTTACTATATTTTTGTCTCTTTTAGGCAATCTGCATCTGCTTGTAGATATTTTTGAGGCTGTCACTGTTTGTTTTGGGGTTTTTTGTCTTGTACTTGACCCCTCGGAAAAGAGCTCTTTAAGAATTGGCCCATCCCTTGAGTTAGGCTTTGTCTGCTTGGAATTCAAATTTGAAGAAATAGGAACTGGTTAAACATTAGCATTTTGTTATCTCTTGTTGTGATTTTCCAGAAGAATACTTCTATGGTGGGTGGCAGTTTAAGATGAACAGTTGCTTTGTTTTTTTGTCTTTGTTTCAGAATTCAAGAGGACAATTCTTTATCATTTCATTTAGGAGTATTAATATCCACCAAAATGATCACGTATTGTAAACCATTAAACATCCACAATGCACCTAACTCCATTAAAAAAGAAAATCTTAATGTAAATTGTACCATGGCATATTTAATTGTTTCCTGATTGTTGCTGGATGTTTATATATGCTGATGAGTATTTTGGAAGAGGCAAAAGACAAGGCAAACTTAGGATTTTATGTTGGGTGGTTGAAAACATATGGCATATATTTAGCAAAAATAATTAAAATAAGAAAAAGTAATCGTTTTTAAAGATGGTTAGACGATTAGAGTTCCAGAATTTGACTCTTAAAGGTCACGATTGTTCTAATGATTTGTTATATTGAAATGTTGAACTCATGCATGATTACATCGACCTTTTAAGAGGCACTTTACTCCAGGAAGAGTTCCACGGTGCACCCTCTTTATCATCATAAGCACAAAAGTTAAGACAAGACCGGGCAGCGCGGATGAAATCCACACTTCCCCTCCTTTTTTCTCCGATTGCGTCACTTGGCTCCGCCACCTGTTGCAAAAAGGAAACCAGAGGTGAGGATTCTGCTGTGCAACCGTCAGTCTTCAGGTCCACTCCTCGTCCCCCCCCCCCCTCGGGGGTGTCAGCTGGACTGCCGTGAGCGTGGGCGCTGCGCCACACCGCCTGCGCACTCATCCGGACAGCATCTCACACACACACAGAGAGAGAGTTTTTTCCGCTTTTTTTCCCAATGTGGGTTATCTGAATCTGCAGTGAAAGCCGTACCTTAACGCGCTTATCTTCCTTCTTTTCCCTTCTCTCCTCTTCTGCAAAGACAGACAGAAACGTCAGGTCTGTGACTGACTGCTTTCTGCGTTTTCTCCTCTTGTTGCACTCGCTCTGACTGCAGCACTCCACAATAACAGCCCCCTCTCCTCCTCATCCTCCTCCTACTCCTCCTCACGGTTTTTCTCTCTCTCTCTCTCTCTCCTCTGTTTAAAATGCCGCTCACAGGACGCGTTCCTCTTTTCGGCACACACGCACGCCCTCTCTTTCTCCAAATAGGCAACGGGGGCGCGCGCAAGCCCAAAATGCGACCATTTGGCAGTCCGTACCGAGTCCACACACACTTTTTTCCCCTCGCTCTTCATCAGCTTTGATCATGATCCCCTTTGAGGTTACATAAAAAAGAGACAGAGAAAAGTTAATAAATTAGGCAAAAAAGCTATGGGTCAATTTAGTGGATCTAAATTCAAAATACGCGCAACCAGACTGTGCGCAAAACGGAATGGATCGTTTTCAAGGTCTGAACACTTTTTTTCCCTTCATATTTGTCTATCTGTAACACACATACACATACACACACACACTGACTCCCTCGGTGTTTCTCTCTCTCGCTCGCTCACACATACGCGCACACTCTCTCTCTACATTTCTCCTCTGTTAGTCGTGTGGGAAGCTCAGTGAATGCGGCTGCAGAAAAAGCCAGCATAGCTACTTCTGCGCCTGCCTGACTCTGTATTTCTGTCTCTACAGTGGGGAGTCATGTCTGCTTCAGCCCTCTATTTACCGAACCTGGATATTTTCTTTCGTCTGAAGGGGACACTTTAATCCTTTACCTCAACGTTTCTTTTTTTTTTTTTCTTTTTCTTCTTTATCCACACTCTCAATGGGCCGATGGAAGAGCGACAGAACGCAGACTCTCCGGCTCTTCGCTTGCACCACAGCGGACTAAAGGCTGAATAACTGCATTATTCATTTTTACGCACCGTTTTCAGTCGTCCTGGGTTAGTTTATTCCCTCCTCTCATTTGTTGCCAGGAGAAAGAAGAGGCTCGTTATCATCACAGACATTTTTATAACATCTATCATTTTTTTTCTTTTTTCCCACCCTTCGCGTTGGATAAGACTGTAATTTCAAATCCATCCTCATTTCAAAGAAACTGGTGGCGAGGGGAACAAGGACTGGATTTATATTACCAAAATGGAAATGTACATTCTCGTGAGCTGAATCAGACTAGAGCATTTTCGGGGTGTTTTTTGCCCTCTCAGTGTAATCCCCTTGCTCAACTTCGCTCGAAACAAAACCAGCATTTATTCCTTGGCTCGCTGGGGGTTGCAAGGCGCACTGTGTTTTCTCTCAATTTCTCCCACATGTTATACTTTAATTATACAAAAAAGAGGACAGAGCAAATTACTCCAAGAATGAAGAGCTTATTTTCCCGCATCTCCCGATTTGCGCCCTTTTCCACGCTCTGGAACCGCCGGACGCGCCATCAAAAGCTCTGAAAAAAGCTGTCTGCCTCACCCTTCCTCCCTCCCTCTCTTCCTATCGCTGTCTTTCCCCCCCCTTCTCTGTAACCAAATGAACGTTCTCCGATGGAGGTAGTACAACCACCTTGGGGGCCGAGTGACCAGAGGGGTGATTTTTCCAAGCAAAAAGAACCCGTCAGCAAGAGACGCATCGGATGAAATCGGACCCCCCTCCTTTCCTCACCCCTCCTCTTCCTCCTTTTTCTTTTCCTTTCTCCGTCGCACCGACCCCTTTCTAGTTTTCCTGAGCTCGTTTTTTGATCTACAGCAGCCTACATGGGGATATAGGAGCCGAAGAAACCTTGTTGCGCCCCAAAAAAACCGGCTGCGTTCTACTTTGCCCGTGAGGACTGTTTGAGCACATCTCCAACCATGTCTCACCAACGCTGCCCCGCGTCTCCAGGTGGAGCCGCAATCATCACCACCGCGGCTTTTGGTAAGTCTTTTATTTGCCAAATGAAATCCTTCAAAATGATCGCACTTTTTGATTTTATTAATGAACCCCATCAGCTTACCCAATCTATATGTTCTGTTCATAAGGTGGAAATAAGGTGTTCACCTGAGGTAAATGCGTCCCGCTAAAACCTCCCCAACATGTCAGCAACGGGCACAGTCCCAATCCTTCCTCTCCCTCTTGTTCCCGTAGTTGCTAAATAACCCGAGTGTGTTGCGTGCTGGTGCTGGCTTCAAATGAGACCCCTTGAAAATAGAGAACCCTTTGACTTTGATTTTGATGAATGAGCTGAATGGGGGGGGGGGGGGGGGGGGGGGGGGGGGTGGGGGGTGGGGGGGACGACTCACATCCATGCAGCTGTCTTTGACATTTTCAAGACAATACATCATGCTTCGGACTGTCTGAGTAACGATGTAAATATATGCAGCTATCGGAAGATTTGAGTGATTGTAATGCATTTCTTGCAGTTCTTAGCAATCGACATCAAGCAATCCAGTCCAGTGATGAAGGAAAGTCAGTGCCAGAGCTACACTATACAGTGACTAATGAAAAAGTGCATTAAAATAGGATTTTTACAATGTTGTAGTTTCTTTCAATTATGAATTTATTTAAATTTTTTAAGTATCAAGAAAAAAGATAGTCACAACAAGTAACACGGAGAGGAATTGGTGTTCTAATGAATCTCATGCACATTGGAAAGGTTTTCTTTATGTTTTGTGTGACTGTCGTCTTATTCTGCACATATGTCTGCCCGTGTGACTGAATGTTTTTGTATGCACTTTGTCCTCTTTTTTTTTTTCTCTCTCCAAAGGTAACTAAATGGTTTTCTGGGGGAGGATTTCTAACCAACGAGATGCTGCTCCTACTCCTGCTGGCAGCCTTTTTTTCCTCCATCTCCGGCTCCCTCTCCTCCTCCCTCTCCTCCATGTCGGACGGACTCCCGATGGCCAGCCCCTCCGCCTCGGACTTGATGGCCGAAACCTGCAGCGCTTGCTCCTGCATGTCGGTGGAGAATGTGCTCTACGTCAATTGCGAGAAGATCACCGTCTACCGGCCCACGCAGCTCATCCCTCCGGCCTCGTCTTTGTACCACCTAAACTTCCAGAACAATTTTCTGATCATACTCTACCCGAACTCGTTCCTGAACTTCACTCACGCCGTGTCCCTGCAGCTGGGAAACAATAAACTGGAGAACATTGAAGGTGGAGCATTCATGGGGATGAGTGCCCTGAAACAGCTGCACCTCAACAATAACGAGTTGAAGGTATTGCGAGCAGATACTTTCCAAGGCATTGAAAACTTGGAATACCTTCAGGCTGACTATAACCTAATCAAATATATAGAAAAGGGAGCGTTTAACAAACTGCACAAGCTGAAAGTGGTGATCCTGAATGATAATCTCATTCAGGCACTTCCTGACAACATATTTCGCTTTGCCTCGCTAACACACTTGGATATAAGAGGGAACAGGATCCAGAAGCTTCCCTATTTGGGGGTTCTGGAACACATTGGGCGCATTGTAGAGCTGCAGCTGGATGACAACCCCTGGAATTGTACTTGTGACTTAGCACCTCTCAAGGCATGGCTTGAAAACATGCCCTATAACATTTTCATTGGCGAGGCCATATGTGAAACTCCAAGCGACTTATATGGGAGGCTCTTGAAAGAAACCAACAAGCAGGAGCTTTGCCCCATGGGAACTGGAAGTGACTTTGATGTTAGAATGCCTCCGGGTCCTCCTGATAACGGGGATGGGCCATCCAAAATGTACCCGACCACTGTGGCCCCCATTGCCACAAGAGCGCCAAAAGCCACTGATTCGTCTAAGATTTATGGAAACGGCATTGTAGCCGGTTTGCCACCTTTCGGAAGAAACAGCCAGATAGTTTCCTTTCAGACACGGACCCCGCCGCTTTTGTGTCCGCAGCCGTGCAGCTGTAAAGCCCACCCCTCTGATTTTGGCATTAGTGTAAGCTGTCAGGAGAGGAACATCAAAAGTCTAGTTGATCTCATCCCCAAACCAGCAAATGCCAAGAAACTTCACTTGAGTGGAAATTACATCAGTGATATCAAACCGACTGATTTCCAGGGGTTCGAGGGCTTAGATCTGCTTCATCTGGGAAGCAATCAAATTTCAACTGTGCAGAAAGGTGTGTTTGCTAACCTTACAAATCTAAGGAGACTATATTTGAACGGAAACCAGCTTGAACAATTACACCCCGAGATGTTTTTGGGCCTCGCAAACCTACAATACCTGTATTTGGAATACAATGCCATTAAAGAAATCTTGGCGGGCACTTTTGACTCCATGCCAAACCTTCAACTCCTGTATCTCAACAACAATGTTCTTCGAAGCCTCCCCGCCTACATTTTTGCTGGTGTCCCTTTGGCCAGGCTCAATTTGAAAAACAACCACTTCATGACCCTGCCAGTGAGCGGTGTCTTGGATCAGCTGCGGTCGCTCACCCAGATAGACCTAGAGGGGAATCCATGGGAATGTTCCTGCGATCTGGTCGCCCTCAAACTATGGCTACATAAGTTAGGCGATGGGGTGGCCTCTAAGGAGGTGAAATGCGCCTCCCCTGTGCAGTTCTCAAACATTGAGCTGCGACAAATAAAAAACGAGATCCTCTGTCCTAAGCTTGCGAGGCCACTTTTTGTCGTGACAAGTGCCACCCCTATTATGACCTCAGTGTCACCTGCAGGAGTTGGCAAAGCACCTCCAGGAGGTCCTGTGCCTCTCTCAATTATGATCCTCAGCATCCTCGTAGTGCTTATTCTTACTGTGTTCGTGGCATTTTGCCTTCTGGTGTTCGTGCTGAGGCGGAATAAAAAACCAGCGGGCAGGCAGGAGGGTCTGGGCAATCAGGAATGTGGCTCCATGTCGTTGCAGCTTCGTCGCCACAGCCATAAATCGGGCAAAAAAGGCGCTATTCCGGGAGATGACCTAGGAGGAGAAACATTCATCCCCCAGACAATTGAGCACATTGGCAAAAGCCACACTTGTGGGATCAGACACTCTTCGGACATGGACGCCGGCTTCAAGTTTGCGGACTCCCAGAGACAGAAGATCATCCTCCGCAACTGCGCCGATAAGGATAAAGACTCGCTTTCCACCTTGGAGCGCAACAAGCGCCTCAGCACCATTGACGAACTCGAGGAGTTTCTCCCCAACCGAGAGCCCAGCTTGTTCATCCACAACTTCCTGGATGGCAAAAGAGATTTCAACAGTATAGGGATGGGCGGGTATGAAATCCGCTACCCCGAGAAAACGCTGGATAAAAAGATGAAGAAGTCGTCGCTCATAGGCGGGAACCACAGTAAGATCGTGGTGGAGCAGAGGAAAAGTGAGTATTACGAGCTAAAAGCCAAGCTCCAAGGAAAGCCTGATTACCTGCAGGTGCTCGAAGAGCAGACTGCCTTGAGTAAAATGTAGGGATTGTTGTGTTTGATTATCTGCATTGAATGCACACAGACACACACATAAAGAAATCAGATATATTTAGGCAGAGACAGACAGCCAAACACATCTGTCTTTCTCTCTTGTCCTTAGTCCTCTAGCTACACATACAACCTTCAATTTCCCAGATCTTCATCACTCTGTCTTCAGCTCTCTCACTCTCTCTGCAGCCACACACACACACACACACACATACACAGCAAAAAGTGCCTTCTGGAAGTCCTTAATGACCAATGCAGAGATGGACAAAATGGCTCCACACTACAAAGCTATTACTAGAATCAGCGTGGATTTATGTCAGAGTAAAAGAGCCTTTGGATCATTCGTGCCCCTAGCTCTGTATGACTCCTGCAAACAGACCACAGGACACCCTATAAAGCAAACAGACAGTCATAGTATTTTTGCTGCTATTGAAATGGGTACTTATATATTTTTTCGTTCTTCTCGTTCTTTTCCTCCTCATTTTGTTTGTCCAACCAAATCGAAGGGTTTTGAAAACAGTGCTTGAGAATATACCTCGCCGTCAACAGCCCATGTTGAAAAAAAAAGAAAAAAAGAATAAGGGGAGCATCCGTTGCTGTTCTTTTTTCTCTGGAGATTATCCAAAATTGCTACATCTGGAGAGAGGTTAGCCGAATTAGTGACTCCGTGGATGGTAATATTCTTTGCTTTTTTTTTGTTGTTGTTTTGCTTGTTAGTTTGTTTTCTGCTCATTTACTCTTGGAGATGCTCTCTGAGGCCAGCTACAGACTTTCTGCCATCTTGTCCGGATTACTCACCAGTAGCAGTACGCCTGCTCCTTGCTGAAAGGATAAACAGCTCCTGTTTTCTATTAATGTCAATGGGATGCCCTGCAAAAACTCTTTTTTGGAATGATTTCATGACTTGTTTCTTTTGTGTAAAGAGCCATGTTAAATAGTGTCTTCTGAATGGAGTTGTGTTTCTCTTCAAAAATTGCTACTTACGGTAAACATATGTTTTTGGGGTAAAATCTAACGGCACATACACTGTCAGAGGATGTTATTTCTGAAAAATGGAACAAAAAAAAGAAAAAAATGAAAATGAAAAACCCAAGGATAAAAATGATGATAATAATTACAAAGCTGCTTGCCATGTAAGCGTAACCTGGAATTTATTTTGTAAGTCTTACATTATTTGTATCTGTGGGACTGGTTTGTAAATTACAAGGAAAGACTAACATCTACATTGGAACACACACACATACACACACTTATACTGTGCGACGGAACACCCTCACCAAGAGACTACAAGCCAGAGCTGTCAAACAGGCCACTAATATGATTGAATTGGTGACCCTTCTCACCAGCTCTTCCCAAATCCCATCAGCTCTCAATTCTTAGTTAAAAAAAAAACATATAGTTAATTTATTTTTCTATGCAGGATTATTTAATGAATTAATGGTATTATTTAAGGAGAATAATCCAGAAAGTGGAGAGGAATTGATGGAATGATGCATCCGATCTGATTCAGTTCCACCTGAAGACCTGAATTGAATTGAAAACAGATTTATTTTGTTTCTATCTGTTACCTGAGGAGCTCGACTCTCCAGGAAAAGGGGTTGAAATGTGATCTGTAATGTTTCATTTTTATTAATGTGTCACATGTTGAGCCGAGGCCTGGCAGACTCTGTTAATTTTCCGAATGGTTTCTTCATTCTTATCTGCCACAATATCTTGTATAAGGTTTTTCTTATAAACATTATGCAACCAAAATAAATGTGCATTAAACTCAATATGCTTCTGGCATTGTTGGGATTGAGAGAAGACGCTTTCTAGTCGACAGAAAAAGGCAACAAATCGAGGCTCTAAATTGTTAGATCTGGACAGAATCATATCAAACTACACCATGTGCAATATTAGTAAAAGATTCTCAGACCCAATGGCTTCAGATCATTATGTTTAACTTATTTCGTTTGAAGTTATATCGTCAAGCAAGTGCTATAAATTCTGATTTCAGCTTAACTATCTGGTCCTTATTTAAAAAGTATTGTTAAGTTAAAATTACGAGTGTTTTGACATTACAAATGAATAGAATGTAACATGAAAGGTATAATAAATACAATTTTCTAATGGTTATGAATCTCCTGTATATTGATTAATTTCTTTCTTGTATAATCATGTTGAAATCAAGGTATTAAAATCAGCACCTATTTGCACCGTGTCCCCCTTTTTCTTTAAGGTAACATCCTCATAGTATGTTGATGCTGCTATACTTTCAATCCCTACTTTAATTGAAATTGTGAGTATTTTTTGTGCGGTTGGACAGGTGTAATGCTTTCTCTGCCTCGGTGTGTGCAAACATCGGGTGCCCTTCAAGAATCATGTGAGACTGTTGAGTCGATTTAGCTCAATGAGGGGGATAAGAAACTGTTATTTGTTACACTTGTGGTTGTGCCTCAAATGCCGTAGCTTTATTGACAATCTTTTAACATCCAACTGATCATTTGAAGCTTTAAAACGTGACTTAAAAACAAAATGCCCTGTTTTTCTGCTAATGCATACCTGCTTGTGGTGCTATTTAAAGGATGTAACCGAAAATGTCTCTTTGTGCAGAATGTTTTGAAGGCAACCATGCAGGTTAACATGATCTATTTTTCTTTCTTCAACCAGCTGAAGCTCTTTCTATCCTCCACACCGACCATTGTTTAGCAGGCACCATCTGTTTTTCAGCACGTATCAAACATTAATTCCTACAGAAGGGGTTAAAAATTCACATTTTCCGAGCTAATCCAACCTTTTGGGCTTTTTAGAAAAACCAAGTAGCAAGGAGTATGACTCATCCACACGCCAGAGAATTGTCCTCATTAATTATGAATACCCGTGGCAGTTATGAACTTAAAAAAGGGATGCAGGAAAGGGAGGTGAGGGAATCCGATATGTCCACCCCTTCCAAGCTCTCCCTGCCACGTTTCCCTCCCCCTCTGTTATATTTTTGATCATACAGCTCTTGTCAGTGAGTGGAATTGTCAGTAGAGAAAAGAAAAGCAACTCAAATTTGGCCAGAAAATAATCTTTTCAGTCCAAAATTTCTACTGCAGTGACTTGGCTCCAGTCTGGAGTTCTGGGGTTCTGTTCCTGGAAGCGTTTTGTTTTCTTGTGGGACAACAGTTGCATTAAAAGAGAACAGACAGATTCTTAATTTCTCTGTAATTTAACTTGCTATACAGTGCAGCAAAACTAGACAAGGCCTCATAGCTGTTGTTTTTTTTTTGTTCTTTTCTCTCCTCCTCTCAGCTGTTATCCCACATCCCACCTGCTTTAGAAAGAGTTATGCAATTCAAAGCCGAATTCTAACTGTAAAATATTAGATGTTGTCCATGAAAACTGATGAAAACTGTTTGTGTTTAGCATTTAGTTAAGAAATGGCCACAAGGGGCACTACGAGTATAGAGAACAACAGAGCACAGGTGGACTGAAGGATTACTCATGTCCAGAGGCCTTTTATCAGATGAAGGGAAGAACATCTGTATTCACTTTGAAGTTTTATATTTTTTAAATCCTTTTTTCACAGCATCTTAAGCTAACAGGTATTTTTGAGGCATCATTACCCTTATTTGGTGACAATGATATGTATTTTGATGTCCAATGTGAGTTAGTGTCAATAGGCAAAGACTTTACTGTTTTAAAAGGAATTTGAACAGACAATATTAGCAATACAACTTTATGAATAAATGACAATACACAAGAGAATGAATGCAGCATAAATAGTTAAAGCTTTTCAAACTTCTATGATCGCTTCTATTTTCGCTCATCACGTTGACAGCACAGCAGATTTTACCAATCCGAGTTTGATAGTGGTAAATCCAACACTAGAGTCAGAGAATATGTTTGACAAATTAAACCAAAGAAAGGTCAGGAACCATCACAATGGAGCACGCCTTTGAGATGAATGAACAAAAACAGACCATAAAAGTGGAGTGAAACACTCCAGACGCCAAGCAACAAAGAAGCTGCTGCTGCAGCTTGATCTGTAAAATCATTTGCAAATGCAGCTGTTTAACAATCCACTTGGTCATCTTTAAAGTTACCCACTTTTAGTTTTATGGAAAATGACACTGTAGCACTACTAAGACTTATTTAAGTGGGGTTAAAAAAATAAAATAAAAAAAAAGTGGGGTTAAAACAGAAGAAAGGAGATTACGCCTGAAGATCTATGTTTTCATGTTTTATGTTGAATGGTTATCTGTTATGCATTCTTATTTCCCTGCTTTTTCTTTTCAAATTTACTTTAATTTCCTTTTAATTTCAATATAGAAGTTTTGTTCAGGAGGGAATATTGCATTTACCTCCTTCTTAGATAGCTTTAATTTCCTCATTCTTTCAGATCTTCTTTTCACTTTTCTTTTTTCTAATCTAAAATGAGCAAACGTTATCCATTCACATTCTTCTATTACCAGCCAACTGATCTAATATGTTTAATTCTCCGAACATGTGCCAACCGTAAGGCCAATGTCTGTCCTGTTCCAAGGTATGCTCATCATACGTTTTGATGACTTAACAAAAAGACTGAGTTCATTTTTTCTTTGCAGTAATTGTGCAAATATGTTCAACGGGAACCCTTTAAGCTTTTAGAGCCGCACCTCATTAAAATTCCAGGTAATCTGTTCAAATTTAGCAACCTCAAAAATGGATGATGACATGCTGTTGATTTGAAATGTCTGTATTACTTTAGCTATAGCATATTTATTGCAAAGCCATCAAATGAAGAAAAACACACGTTTCCTTGTTAAACTTTTAGTGCTTCAGCAAATGTGTAATGATAGTAAATCTTTCAACACTAAATTAAAATAAATACCACATTTTACCATAAGAAACCTGTTTTTCGATTATATCCTCAGTGATATTTCAATCATTTAACCCAAAACCTGGCACATTTTCATGGCAAGAGTAGTGTACCAAATCTAATTTGGATAATTTGGGGAAACCTAATACTGAGTGTCTCAGTGTATGACAATTGCAACATTTTTACTGACCCAGGAAACTGTCATAGTGATGTAAACGGACTGATATTCATGAAGGATGAATTTGTGGAGAGGGTGTGTGCCTCCTGTTTAAAGCAGTAACACACACACAGTGCCACATAATATGAGCTGATTTTTTATTTATTCCTTTTTGGCTTTATGTTTATTTTTTACAATGTAGTATTATTTGAATGTAGATGCTATAAAT